TCAAAATTTTAAAAAATTATAAAAAATTAAATTTTATCCTGGAGCAACGTCCGGGTTTATAGCTAGTATTAAATAAAAATTAATATCTTTAAATTAATTGATGATTCTCTAGTGAACTGAAGAATGTTCATAGTGAAATGTGACGTGGTTCTATATGTAAATTACTATAGATGCAAAAATAGAAATTTTCTAGTAATTGTCCAAGAAAAACTTTTTTTTGTACTAAGTTAATTATCTTTGAGTCTCTAAATAAAGTGTAGAGCTTATCGAGACAAATCTAATGATAGTTAGATCATTTAAATTGGCCTAGTAGATACCAAGATATCTTTGAAAACATTTCGCCAACTATATAAAATTCTTTAAGAACAATCCAAAGAATTTTTATATAGTTAGTGAAAAGTTTTTCAAAGATATCTTAGCATTCACTAGGCTGATTTGAATAATCTAACTACCATTAGATTCATCTCGATAAGCTCTACAACTTTACTTAGAGACTCAAAGATGATTAACTTAATACAAAAAAAAAGTTTTTCTTGGACAATCACTAAAAAATTTCTACTTTTATATCTATAGTAATTTACATATAGAACTGCGTCATGTTTCACTATAAACATTCTTTAGTTTACTGGAGAATCGTCAATTAAATATATAAAAAAGTTAATATCTTTGAAATTATTTTTAAAATTAAATAATATTTACAAATTAAATCTTAATAAAATATATTCAAAATTTAAATTGTTATATAACAGAAAGATATAAATAACCATAAAAACAAACTCACCAGTGATCGAACTCAACATAACATCTTTTTTAATTGAGTCATAGACATAATCAAAGCCTTCAGGTTTTAAAGGTGAACCGGTTGACAAAATTATTCTAATTGATTGTAAATTACACTGTTCGATGGGTTTATAATTTAAATCTTGAAGACTTTGAATATACTTTGCGGAAATGCCTAATACTGTAATCCTAAAGACAAAATAAAATCTATATAAAACGGTATAACATCATTTGTATTATAAATATTTAATAGCCTATACCTACCCAATTTGATCACTTAATTCCCAAAGAACGGATGCCCTTGGTTTAAAAGGTGATCCATCATATAAAACAATTGTACAACCAGTTGCCAATCCTGAAACCAACCAATTCCACATCATCCATCCGGTTGTTGTATAATAAAACAATACGTCATTTTGAGACATATTCCCATGTAAAATGTGCTCCTTCTTATGTTGAATTAACACTCCTCCTGCCCTATGAACCATACATTTAGGTTTTCCAGTCGTTCCGGAAGAAAAAAGAATATAGAGTGGATGATCGAATGGCAATTGTTCAAACTCTATTTCATCTGAACTAGAGCCTACAACTGAATAATTGTTCAGAAAATCATTCCAAGAAGTTGCTAATGAAATTGAAGATAAATCATAATTATTAAATTCGTTGAAAGAAACGACGATAACTTTTTCCAGACCCTCTTTCTCTAAACTTTCAGCCACAAGTTTAAGCTTTGGTAAGATATTAATGGTTTTTTCATTATATACAACAGAATTTGTAGAAAATAAAAATTTTGGACGAATCTGAGAAAATCTATCAAGAACTCCTGAAACACCAAAGTCAGGAGAAGCACTACTCCAAATTGCGCCAATACTAGTAGAAGCAAGCATTGCAATCACGGCTTCAGGACAATTTGAAATATATGCACAAATTCTATCACCCTTTCGAACACCGGCCGATCTCATTGCAACTGCCATACGTCTAACTTGATCATATAAATCACGATAAGAAATTGTTTGTATAGATTTGCCTTCACCTAAAAATCATAAATACAGATGAAGAAAACGAATTACATTGATTATTTATCGAATAAAAGAAAAGATGACAAACCAGCTGAAATAATAGCAGTTCTATTCCCATCACGGCACCACAATAAGTTCTGGGCAAAATTAAGTCTTGCACCAGAAAACCAAGCAGGTAATTTATTCATTGGCTTAGATTCTACAACCTACAATATTTAAAATAAATAAATAAATAAATAAATATATATATATATATATATATACAGATCTTACTATATATCTATATGTATAATACGATTATCGTTAGAACAGAAAATAATGGATCGGTGAAATAATAATTACCTGTTCGTAGGGAGCTGAATGAATGATGTTGGTATAATCCCAAACTGTAGCCCAAAAATCTGAAATATTGTCGGTAGACCATTTCCAAAGTTGGTGATAGTTTTCTAATGAATTATAATAAAATCAATTAATTGAAAGATATAAAAAAGAGAAATAACCGCCTAAA